TCCTCGTGGCTTCTCCCGTAGCGCTCGTGGGAGGGGGTGGGAGGGAGGGGCACGTCGCGCTTGGAAGGGGGGGAAGGCACGGTGTTGGTGGGGGGTTGTGTGGCGGTAGTGGGGGGGGATGGTGGGGGAGAGTAAATCGCCGAGGTGGTGTTGGTTGCGGGGAGAGATGGTACTTGTATGTGCGCGTGTGTGTGTATGTGTATGTAGTTACGTTTCATGTGCGTCAGGGGACAGAAATTGGGGCTGGCAGGGCAGCTAGTGGGATGGGCCGTGGGTGGAGGGGACTACCCACAACCCCACTCTTTGCCCTCTCCGTCTCCGCTTCTTGCATGAACAACATACATACATACATACATACATACATACATACATACATACATACATACATACATACACACATAACATACATACATACATACATACATACGTGCACACGAACTTCAGGCCACCAAGCTGGCGGAGGACAAGGCCGCTGATCCGCACTCCCGACCCGACTTCCTGTCGTCCATTGAGGTTCTGGTGCTCGACAGGGCGGACGTGATGGGTATGCAGGTGTGCGTGTATGTATGTGTGTATGTACGTGTGCATATATGTATGCATGTATATGTATGCATGTATGTATGTATGTATGTGCGGGGGGCCGAGAGTAAATAGGGGGGATTAAACCGCGGAAGGGGGAAAAGGCCTTTTGGGGGTATTGGGCAGGTGGACCCCGCGTGGTGATCATGGGGGGTAGAGGTCAGGGGTAGAGGCGGTTTTAACAAGGCCGGTAGCGTTTTAGAGTTTTAGGGTTTTCCCCGCTCTCTCCACGCTCTTTAAAACCTCCAAATCTCTTCTTATCGTCAGAATTGGACCCACGTGGAGACGGTGGTTTCGGCACTGAACCAACTTCCCCGGGAGCAGCACGGCACTGACATCATGCGAGTGCGGGATTGGTACCTGTCAGGCCTTGCCGTACATTACCGACAAACCGTGTTGCTGGCGTCATTCGCCTCCCCCCACACCAACGCACTAGCCCGGGGGGGGTCCAACCACGGAGGGGCGCTGAGACTGGCGGTGCAGCACACTGGGGTGCTGGGCAGGGTGGTGCCGCAGGTATGAGTGTGTGTGTACGCGTGTGTGTGCGTGTGTATGTGTGTGCTTTCCCTGTTGGGGAGGATGGGGGAAGGGATGGAGGGCGGATGAATGTGGAAGGGGCTGTGCTTGTTTGTGTCTCTGCGCTTATTCACCGGGTGAATGTGTGCGTGTAGGGGGGGTAGGTGGGTGTGGGTGTGAGCGTGCGGGCAGCGCAACCCACTCACCCTGTGCGTTTCTCTCTTTATTTCCTTTTTGCTGTACGGCAGGTACGGCAACTCTTTGAGCGCTTCCCCGCCAGCGCCCCTGCCGCCGCCGGCGACGCCAGGTTTGAGTTCTTCATGAACACGGTGTGGAAGCGAATCAAGGACTCCATGTCTCGAGGTGTGTACGGCATTTGGTTTTGTTTTTGTACGGATTTGACGTACTACGACAAGGACGGGATGCTGTGGAAGATACTTCTTTCACAAAAGGACACGGGCACACCGCATGAAACCCAAATACCCCCCTGGGAACTCCCCCTCACCACCACCACCACCACCAGCCCCCAAATAATCCCCCCCTCCACCACCAAACTCAAATTCGCAGGTTTGTTGATCTTCATCCCCAGCTACTATGACTTTGTACGGCTTCGTAACGCCCTCAAGGCAGATGACAGCGCGGAGTTCGCCACCGTTAGCGAGTACAGCAGAAATGCGGAGGTGAGGTGTGCGTGTGCGGTTGGGGGGGGGAAAGTCATGGCGAATCGGGGAAAGGATTCGGTTTGGGGAACCGTACCTTTATTCGCGTACTAGTAACGGAATTGCAACTGATTGTAATGTCGTAATGTCGTACAGTTTTCCTCGCGACCTCTCCGGCTCCGGACCCCGGCTTTTGCTTGGCTTCCCTGTCCTTGATTCTGCTCTGTTCGTGTCTCCTCTCATCCTGCTTTCCATGTCCCTCCACACCCCCCATGTGCGGTTATGACGACTCTGGTGTGCGGCAATGGTGCTCTGGCCTTCAGGTCACTCGCGCGCGAGCTCGCTTCTACCACGGGCAGCGGCGCGTGTTGCTGTACACGGAGAGGGCACACTTCTACCACCGCTACCGCATCCGGGGAATTCAGGTCTGTGTGTGTGTGTGTGTGTGTGTGTGTGTGTGTCATACAACAAAGTGTAAGGCGAGGCGGTGCAGGGGCTTCTGATCGCGGCCCTTGTCGTAAAAATTCAAATGCACTGCCGTCGCTTCGCTTGTCGCTCTTGTTCCTTATCCCCCCGGTCCACCGCTCTTGGTCCTTATCCACTTCCTTAGGCGCCTTCCTTACAAGGCTGGCTCCTCGCTTCCTACCATACGACACTACCAGCCGTTAAACGGTATCAATGGTCAAGTAGTCGGCTAATCGATAACTGACTTGAAGGCCGCATGAGCCGTGGGGATCGTACATAGCACCTGCCCCAGCCCCTCAAAAACTGTTTTGCCTCTTGCATTCGTTACAAACCTCCACCTTAACTTTCCTGCCTCCCCATCCGTTACTTAACCCCCCCCCCCACACACACACACACACAAGCGGTTTCCTCCCCCCACGACCTCCCTGCTTCAGGATGTGATCTTTTACGGACTGCCCGATCACGGCGAGTACTACTCGGAGCTGGTGAACCTGCTTGAGGAGAGGGGCGCGGGAGGAGGAGGCCGCGGATTCGGTGCGGGTGCGGCCGGGGGGTCTGCCGCCTCTCTCGCCACCGCCCACCAGGCCACGGTGACGGCGCTCTTCTGCCGGTGGGATGTGTTGCAGCTTGAGCGGGTGGTGGGCAGCGGCAGGGCAAAGAAGATGTTGCAAGGGGAGAGCGGCACCTACATGTTTTGCTGAGGTGAACATTGGGTTTAGGGGGGAAAGTGGGGGCAGGGGGGAGAGGGAGGGGGATGCGGGGAAAGGAAGGGGAGGGACGGGTGATTTTTTGTTTGGAGGAGAGAAGTAGTTGGGACAGTTGCTGGGCTGGAGAGCCCATATATGCAAGTTTATGCTATTTGATGCCCCGGGGATTGTGGAGAGTGAGTGTGGACTTTTTTCGTGGTGCGTGTATCATTGAAGGTGGGGGAGGGGTTCCCAAAGAGATGTGGGTGGCAAAGAGAGAGAGCGCAGGAGAGCTCTAGGTCGGGTCGTTGTACAGGTAAATAGGGACCATCTCTTTCTGCTGCTTGCGTGTATAGACGAGGGCTTTAAGGGAGTTTTGGAAGGATGGGGGAAGCGTTGTGGCGGCCGTGGTGTCAAGACATAGTGGTGCTGGATATAGGGCTTGCGAGCTGAGGAATGCCCAGGTTTGAGCGAATGGAACAAATCCTAGGATTAGGTGTATACTTGGCGCCGTGCAGTGTGCAAACCTAAGGAAAGTGTTGTTACCTCGGCTTTCGGATCGCGTCTGCGGCAGCTGGACCTTCGCGCATCGTGCGCTTAGGGTGTTCCAGGCAACGTTGGTGGATGTAGGTTCCTTCCATTTGGCGTATAAACGCGGGGAGAAAGGTTCACGGCAGCGAAGGCGAATAGGGTTATCCATGTATTGCAAAGGAGCTCCATGGTGCTCACCTCCCAATTTGAGCATCAACTGTAATATATTATATCGGGTGGTGAATGCCTTTCGCCAAAAACGCTGCATTGAACGGGCACGGCCAAACACATACATACACGCCGGCGTGTGAACCCGACCCCCGAACCTGTGCATAACATTCCATAACTCTTTCCTCTGCATTTCTCGCATTAGCATCCCTGGAAGCCAGCGGATGGTGCACAGCGTAGCTAGATTCCTAAGACCCGTAATCACTAACCTATCGAACTACCCAATAAAAAGCAATTCTGCCCTGGTCCGGCTTGCCGGCCTTCAGCTTAACACGTTGGAACATGTCGGGCTTAGTCTTCGGAGTTAGTCAATTAACTGCTAAGAACGTTTAGCTATACCTGTCACGAACACGAGACGGCCGCTCACGACACAGCACGTGTCAGGTCACATAGCACGCACATACATCTTCCCATCCATCGCCACACACCCTCCAACCGGAGCACAAACTAGCATATACCCACATATGTGCGTTCACGTCAAATTGGGGAAACAACGTCTGTCACTCGAACCCCACCCGCTCAGCAACAAATCACGATGACACCGCACACTGCCCCCCAATCACCCGCCCCGGTATACAGGTAGGGTCAGAGTTGTTTGCAGTCGAACGGCTGACAACCCACGGCTAAAACCCCCCACGGCACAAACGGGAATTTTCATGCACAGCCGCCGCTGCTGGCCGCGTTGCCAGCATCGGTGTCCGCATATCCAAATAATGCACCTATGTCCTTCAGCGGCCGCATCCATGGCCCCCAATGCCACTACACGGGTATATACACGGGGCCCCCGGGGGAGACATGGAGGGAATAAAGGGAAGGGCCCAATGGCGGCGCCTTTTTCTAAAGTCTGATTAACAGCCGCCGAGCCGCTACACCCTCTCTTACTTAGGCGCTAGACTCTGCTCTGCTTGCAGCAGGGACCAAGAGCGCTACATGGATGAATATATATTCAAGGTACTTCGCTACACTTCTCAACTTTCTCCGCTTCTGGACAGACAGGCATCATAATTTAGGACAGGAGACACAGATCAGCAAAAGGTAAAAAGAGGAACCACGGGGTCACCACCACGCCGTACCACCCCGCACGCCGTTGCAAGTGCTGCAGGCCGTTGCGCGTGTCCGGGTTTTTTTCAGCCCAATGCCGAGCAGCAAATCTGAGCATGCAGCGCCATTCCGGTGTTCCATCCAGGTACTGCTGGTGACCAAGGGCGTGGGACGGCGGCCGGTGCCGCTCTCACCTTGCTGAACACCAAAAGCTGAACCGACATTAAAACATTGACTCTGCCTTCAACACGTTTCGGCATGGGTCATGCATGGACTGTGCATGCATTAAGCAATGAAGGCGTGATGGAAGGCAGTAGGAACACAGTACAGACTCTACATGGTAACCGCAGCCTGTATTACAGCGCTCCTCGCGTTGATTCATTCAGGGGTATCTACGGCCCTCGTGACATTGGGTTTTGTCACAAAGTAGCATTGTGCGCATGGTCAGTAGCAGACCCGGCTCCGCGCTCCCCTTGGTCCCCTTGCGACCTGGATGGTGCATCCGCCAGAGGGCCTCTGGCCCAGGTGCCCCCAGGGGCTGCCCAGCGCCTGCCGGCTCTTGCGGCCAATATGGCCTATTCCACTTCAGATTTCTCCTGCCCGGGTGCCGCTGCCGCCGCCGCCGGGGCCGAGGCCGCCGCTGCCGCCGGCCTCGTTGCAAGCCCCTGAGCCTGGGAAGGAGCCGCGGAGGATGCTTCTCCGCCACCGTCGCTCTTGGTCACCGCCGCTTCCACCGACTGCGTCGGTGTCGGTGCCGATGCGTCCGCTCCTCCTCGTGAGCAGGTTGAAGAGCTAGATGCCACTTCTTCCTGTGGGCCACCATGCCGCGGACCCGTTTCCCCTCCGTACTGTTGCTTGACACGCCGTGCAGCTTCAGTGGCCGCGTCCCCGTCTGCGGCAGCCACCCCCCCCGCCTCTGTGTCGTCGTCACCTGCCGTGTCTGCAATCCCCTGACTCCATTCCTGAGCGTCACCTCGGCCATGCGGATCGGCGGGGCCCAGGGGAGCAATGGCGGAAACCGGGGCGGCCTCAGCCGCCGCCACGGCACACGGCTGCGTCGCCTCTAACCCAGATCGCTCGCGGGCCGTAATAGTGGCCGCGGCAGCGGCGGACGAAGCGACACTGCTTTGTACGGCAGTCACACCAGCAGGTTGATGGCTTTGAGCAGGTCCATTTGCAGCGGACAAAGAGGACGCCTCCGCAGCCGTCCCACGTTGAGTCGTCTCCTCGGCGTGCAGCTTCCGGTCATTGTCATCATACCCTGCCCCCAGCTCGGCCGGCTGCACCGCTGTGACATGGACAGGAGGTATGTAGCTAGGACGCAGCGGCGACGGGGGCAGCGGGGCCGGGACCGGGGGCTCGCCATCAAGGGATGACGGGCTGCCTGTGCCGTACGAGGACGCGGCACCATAGACATTATCGTACACCGGGCTGGCACCCGTTGTCACGACCCGTGGGTCAGGGACCGCAGGCGTCGCCCCATACAGCGGATGCATCGATGCGGGCACGCCTGGAGGCGGTGTTGTAACGGGTGGTGGTAGCGGTAGCGGTGGTGCGACGCACTTGAGAGGGGAGACCGGTACGTGAGAAACCGGCGGCGAAGGCAATGCCCCGGCGACGGCCATGAGCTCCGATCCGCTGGTGCAGCCGTCGTCACCCCCATTGCCGCTTCCGCTGCGCTTGGCCCAAGAGCTACCCGGTAACTGCTGCAACTGCAACTGCGATTGCGGCTGAGGATGCTGCTGGACGTGCGGCGGAAAGGAGTTTGGCTGCGGCGGTGTGTGCAACTGGGCGTGCAGGTGGTACTGCGGCCGCTGCAAGGTGGCAGCAGGGACCGTCGGGCTCATCGCGCCAGGGTTCAGCAATCCGGGGTTACCACCGCTTCCGGCCGGTGCGGGAATGGGCGGCCTCGGCCCGGGCCCAGCCACAGCAGGCAGTTGCGAGGACAACGAGCGCGACGACTGGGCGGATAGCGTACTGAATGACTGACGGGAGAACTGCCCCTGGGGCTGTGAGTACGGGGCCAAGTGCGTGGCCGCAGCTGCGCCCGCGGATGAGGCTGCGGCCATGGAAGCACCTGCCGATGCCTCCACGGAGGTGCGCCTGCGGGCAGTGGCGGCAGGCGGCTGCGGCCGGGTGAAGCCCCAGGTGCGCTCCAGCGTCAGCACTTCCGCCTCCTCCGCAGCTACCTCCACCTGCAACGCGCCCGCCTCTTCGTACAGCTCCGCGCCCGCGGCCGCCTCGAGCGCGGCGCGGCTCAGACCCAGACTGAACACCAGGTACCTGCGGCAGTGCGGCGTGGGACGGTGTAGTGCAGCGAAGACCAAGGAGCAAAGGAGCATGGTGGGAAAATCGCATGCAAAAAGCAAAGGGTCAAATACAAATGGGAGGCAGAAGGGAGAGCGAAGGCGCAGCACGGCGCGAACAGTCACCTCAGCGGCGAGTAGGCCCATATATAGACGCAGAGGTGCACATGTGCACGCTCAAGTACCTGTGGTGCGCCTCCGCAGCGTTTCGTTGCGCCTCGTGCACCATGGCCCTCAGCTCCTCCAGCTCTGAAACCTTGCTGCCCTCCACCGCCGCCAGCTCTGTCATGGCACTTGACACACGCGCTAGCTGGGCTGCTGCGACGTCGGCCTGGAAGGGGAAAGAACGCGAGTGGCCGAGCCCGAAGGGCATGAGTGGGGGTAAAGGTAAACAGAGAATGTGAGGATTAGCAGATGAGAATCGACGCCTGTGTAGATTCTGCTGGAGAAAACAGGTTAAGGGTTGCAATGCGCTGCCATGAACACGCAACTAAACTCGTTTCAAACAAAACTCGACTCAGTTCTACAAGAAACAACTTTTCGTCAGTTCAAGTATGCAGCACGGCATGAGCACCTCCTCCATACATTACAGGACAGCATCAAAACAAAGATACAAACGTAGTTGGGGATTCCTGCTCGCTTGCGACTCCTGGCCCCACAGAAGACATGCACAGAAGACGCGCGCGCACACACACCTGCGCGGACAGCGCTCGCAGCTCCCCAGACAACCGCGCAGCCTCGCGGAAGTCCTGAGGGCGGTGTGAGGACGACAGGAAGGGGTAAAGAGAGAAAGCGGGTGGGGCCGGGCGTTTTCGGGACTCCTCCGACCGGACTAGACCCCGCCACATTCCCTTCTACGCATGGGTTCCCAGAGATGTAACAATTTACGCGTATCCTTATCTGAAAGCTCGCTACATGTACATGTCTAATCAGACCTTATCGTCCAGGTAGGACGAGAGGCTCTAGGACGAGCCCTCAACAGGTTAGCATTGATTGCATGGAGGGCTCATGTGCTTCACCGCTGCGGCCGTTGCCGCGTCTGGGGCCCTCGCCCGGTCCTCCAACGCTTTCCATGTTCCGTTTCTTAAGACTCAACATCTGTCGACGCGCATAGCTCCTTGCATAGCTCCCTATAGCGACGCACCTTATTTGCCGCCGCTGCTCGCTTCGCTGCCTCCAGCTCAGGTAACGCCCGCTGCAGACCAGCCAGGCTTTCCTGCGCGGCCGTCCGTTCACCCGCTAGCCGGCCGCGCTGCTCCGCCAGCCGGGACAAGTCTGCGCTCAAGTCAGATATGCACCTGCCAGGGGCGGCGGCGGCGGTGAAGGTGGCAGTCGGGGTCAGCATCAGCAAGGCGAGTCCATCCGTCCGTCCACAGGTGACAATCTAGGGATGCACGGCATGCAGAGTCTAGCATCCCTGGATCAAGCCTAGGTTGACTCCTACTTCAGCCAAAGAGCGACGGAGGCTGGAATATGGCAGTGGATCTAAGCGTAGCTTGTTGGCCTAGCCCGGCTTTCAGACGGTCCCATCAGCTATTAGCCCGGCTCAAATCGAGCTCCTCACTTCTCAAGGCCCTTGAGGTCCTCCCGCGCCTTCTCGTCCGCCTGCAGCAGCCGCTCGCGCTGCTCCTGGCTACGGGCCTCTGCCGCCACCCGCTGTGCCAGCGCCTCCTCCTCCGACCGCATCGCCTCTGCTGCTGTCCCTAGCGCGTCGGCCTGCAGCCGCAGCTGCGATTGATGCTCCTCCACGGCGGCCGCACGCGCCTCGGCCTGGCGCTCGCTGTCCTGCGGGATCCAAATGCCAAATGCCCCGGCGGATCCGTCTACTGCCAGAAACCCCGCCTTGTAGAGGAACAGGTCAGGTCTACGGACAACGAAGTTTTCGGCCATTTCGGCCATGTTAACCCCCGGCCAAAAGAATATGCACGCGCACGTGCCACGTGGGTCAGACATGCGGTGTGTCGCGTTGTCCCTATCCTCTGTTGTGATGTATGGTCCCGCCATGGGGCTGCCTCGCCAGTACAGTAGCATCCACGTACCTGTAAGGCCTGCTCATGGCTTGCCACCTGCGCTGCCTCCGTTTCCAGCTGCCTACGCGCTTCCTCCAGGCGAGCCAGGTCCGCATCAAATGCAGCGGCCTGCTGCCGTACCACGTCCACAGCTTCCGCCACGGCAGCCTCAGCCGTCGCCAGCGCCGCCTCCTTGGCCGTCAGCAGTGCTCGCAGCGACTCTACTTCGGCCTGCACCCGTCAAGTCAATTGCAAAGCGACACGTGAACAAACACGAGGACAAGACACTACGTACGTGTACGTGGCAGTTCTGGCCGCTACCCGTTCATGTGCCGAGAGACACGGTTTGGCTTCCATGCAATGTAAGGTGCAATGGCGGCTGAGGGAAGGGTAGTTGAACGAACGAACATAGCTGGGAAAAGTCATATGTTAAGACTTGTAATAAGGATACGTAAGCAAACTGATATAGCATATATGCCGTAGGTGTGCAAAGGGCACGTGGTTGGCCTCAAGGACAGCCTTAAGTTAGGTGGTATCGATGCCCCTCCAAGTTTGTGTTGCCAACCTTCCTGTGGCGGAGTACGGGCCCCTTCCTAAGCAGTGACAACAGAGAGACCGACCCCATCCTCCCCAAGTGACCCTTGGTGGTCCATGGCCCTAGGCCAGGCTTTGCCTTCACACCAGCTGCTAGGCCTCGCGTTCCACTGGGACTACGGCCAGTGGGAAAGCCGCCTCCTATAGGAGCCGGCCTTAATGCGCCTAGTTAGCTGCCTGTTAGCTAGTGGGAGGTGCGCCAAGACCATCGTTTGTGGTTTTAAGGAAGTTGGTTGGTAAGGGCCATTACTACAGGAAGGTCGGTAACGCACATGCAAGAGAGGCTTCTGGCCGGTGCAGAATCACACAAAATGGACGGCTTGGGCGCACGGCAGCTGTTGAGGTTAAATGCAAGTTCAGGCACCGTGCGTTCAGTCGCAAGCTGAGTGGAGTGCGAAACATGGCGGAAAAAAACCATGTAGCCATGGATGCAGAAGGGTAAGGGTAGTTAAGCGCCATTGAGCAAGGCCCATCAAGGCCTTGGGATCCTTAGAGCACGGATACCACCAGTCGCAGGCGATAAGAACTGGACGGACGTGGGCTGTAGGTCCTGGAGGAGCTGGGTTGTATCCCTCTCGTTCCAGTTGACGCCCTACCATTACTACACCAAACCGCTACCTTTTAACACCCGCCTGAGCTGGGCCGGTAAGCAGAACAAGTCCTATGGACCTATAAACACACGGGTACGGTTTGCGTCCGCATCACCAGGAAGCGCGAAACATGTTAACTGCCATCTTGGTGAATCCTTCCGGCTTTGGGTGGTAACGAGAAGAAGCGTGAGCGAGTCCAGAGGGTCCTTGCTGCCTCGTGCTGTTATCCCCATCCCTAACTCCTGGACACATACGCACCTGCAGCGCGTCCCTGGTGTTTGCCCTCCGCTGCCGCTCCGCCTCCGCGGGCGCCGTCGCCGCCGCCACCTGCGATGCCACCTCCGCGGACGCTGCATCCAGCTCGGCAGTCCGCTCCTCCAAAGCAGCACGGCGCTGCGGTGCGAGGGCGCATGCAGGGTTTCCGGGTGCGGTAAGTATGGGAGCTTAAGTAATAGACGCATGATATAGGAGACGGCAGCCAGCAGATGGAGACTTGGGTTGCGATGGAGCTCGGCACAGCTTGGGATACATGGTAGGTTACAGGAAATGCACATCTGCATCTGAGGACTTGAGCAGCGCAGCGTACCGTAAGAACCCCGGCTTGGCAACGATTTCCCTGGTTCGACGCGGGTTTGCGGGGTGATAACGAGCCACAATGCCACAGACTAAGCAAAAGCACAGCCACCAGTCCTTACAGCATCACAGGTGCCTGACTGGACCCTACAGCCTGACGTGCCAGGATGTGGGACAGGTGTGCAGGCCTTTTCCTTTGCCCTGCGCCAGGTCTGCAGCCCACGGCCGGGCACCCAGGCTGTCACGGTCCACCAGTACGTCGGCTTAAAACTCCAGGGCCATCTCACCTGCACCAGTGCCTCCTGCGCAGCGCGGTGCAACATGGCGGCCGCCTGCGCCTCCCTGTCCGCCTGGGACGCTAGCGTCGCCGCCATCTGCTGTTGGCCACTCTGCGGTGCAGCAAGGCGAATTGGGGGCCATTGGGGCATTGCAGCCCGCCACACAAGGTAAGGCCAGTGCAACCAACTTTGAAAGCCCGTCTCAAAAGGCTTAATAGTACAAAGCCCAGCAGCAGCACGGCACAAAACTCCTTGCCATGCTGGAACCTAGCTCTCTGCTGCGAATCTAGCAAACCAAGCGCCACACAGATGCGTAGGTCTACATGTTGAACCCACAGCTAACGAGGCCAAAATGACGTCACGAACCTACCCACACATGTACGGCACATAGTGTGTAATGAGCGAATACACAGAAGACAGTTGGCCCCGTTCCGGTCACCATGTCCTCGCATCACACCTGCAGCCGTGCAAGGTAGGCCCCGGTGATGCGCCACACCTCCACCTGCCGGCCCAGCACCTGCAGCCGCAACGTCGCCGCCCGCTGGAGTCCATCCGCCAACAGCCGTACCTGGTCGTCCATGTTGGCGCGCCGATACGACAGCTGGGTGAGCTGCTCGTCCAAAGCCGCCGCAGTGTCGAAGTCCTCACCCTCCACCGCGATTGCCTGGTCCGACTCAAGCTGCGTGATGCCTGGTGTCCAGGGGATATGGGGTTTAGGGAACTTAGTCGCCAACCTGGGCATGAGCCGTAACTTCCCGGGATAAATTGAGGGTGCAGTTCGCAGCATGTCCACGTAACTGATAACAGTGTCCACGAGATGCCAGTTGCGTAATTCATCTGCACATGCCTCCCCCTACCCTTGCTGTATTAACATAGATTTCGCGATTTAGGGGGACGAGGTAGGCTAATCTCGCAGCTTTCAAGGATTTTTGGGAATTCATACAGTTGCTTTCTACAGAAACAAAAACTCTCAGTCGTTTGAGAGACAATCATGGCAATGTATGCATCACATCCCTGTAAACCTCCACCCATACGACTCACTCGCCATGACACCCGCCAGCGCAGCCTTCATCGCCCGCCGCTGCTGTTGCAAACTCGCCTCCACCTTTTGCGCCTGGCACAACGCAGCCGCCAGAGCCGAGACCATCTCCCTAGCCCGCTGCTCCGCGGCGCTCCGGCAGGCGTCTACAGGACCAGTGATGTTGTTAAGGTAAGACTCAAGATCGTCCAGGCTGGGAAGTGACGATAGGGCAGGCAACGATGAGGCCGGGTCGGGCCCCAGCCCGCCGCTGCTAAAGCCGCCGCCGCCGCCGCCGCGGGAGCGCGTTCGAAGGGCGCCAACAGAGGTGGGCAAGGATGGTGCCGGCGCCATGTTGGCGGCAGCAGCAGGGGTTCCTGTGGCCACGGGCGTATCCGCGCTGGCGTCAGCCAGGCTAATGTACTGCGGCTGCTGCAGTGCGACAGCTGTGTTTGCGACTCGCACAGGCGTCGACACAGAGCCCGTAGCCAAAGGGTTCGCAGCTGCAGGTACAACGGGTGATAAGGCGGCTGCAGCAACGGCAGCTGTGGACCGCAGCATGGAGCCGCCGGCCAAGGCGCCGCCACGCTCCGATGCGATTTGCGCCTGCTGCAGGAAAGCTGAGATAAAAGAACTCGGCTGAGCCTGAGCAGCAGCGGGCACTGCCGTTGCCGAGTTTGACCCAGTGACGTCGATTGCAGCGGTGGAACGGGTGGCCACCGGCCCCGTGGAAGAGCTGTCAGCCCAATGGCTGCTACCGTGCCCTGCGCTGCCGGGGCCCGTTGCAGTTTGCGTTGCACCGGAGCCATCCTGGATGCTGTTGGTGCGTTGCCATTTCCATTGGTTAGAAACGCCGGCCGCTCCAGCTGCTGCTGGAGCTGGCGTCATCGACTCTGCGGCCTGCTGCTCCTGCTGCAGCTGCGCAGCGTGCTTCCCGCCTCCACCTGCAGGCATGCTGTTGCTCATAGCTTGTCCGGACGAGGACGCTTCAGCTGGGGAGACGCCGCTGGTGTTGTAGGGTTGTCCAGGCCTGACTCCTGAAGCCGCATGTGGCAGGCTGCCTGCGATTTGCTGCATAAGCTAGCAGGCATACACATAAAGGCAGGACCCAAGTCAAAACGCGGCTGTATCGCCCAAGATTCTATGAATGAAGCCGAAGTGGTGCCAAAGCCACGTTCGTGAAACCCACTCCAGCCATGGAGTAGCAATGTGGGATGTGGAGTACGAAACTCCTAAACACCGGAACAGGCCTAGTTCTACGGTCCAATCCACATCGTGTATAGCTGCCTGCATGGTAAAGTTCAGCTCCTGGCTGTAGGAGCGATCGACCTGGGGCCCACTGGGCTACTTGAGTCCAGTCCAGGTGCATCCTCAAACGTTGCCCCCATTCCCTCCCCGGGTCACCCATGGTTATCGCCTTCAGCTGCTGCTACCTGGCAACGACGCAAGGCGTTGTGCTGTTACACAGCATGCCTCGCAGCCGTCAACACAAGCCAAGCAGAGGGCTCTTGAACGCCGGACAAGCCGCACATGCACACAGATATTCATCGTCATTCTATGTTACCCCGACACATGCACGTCAGGCCTGAAACCCATACCCGAACCACCTGCGTGCGCGGCTCCTCTTCTAGCGCTGCTGGGATGTACGCCTGTGCTGGCGCCTCGTCTTCAGCCTGTGGGGATCGAACCAGGCAGCGCTTACCCAACCATGGCTCAGCCTTCGCAAAACCGCAAGGCGAGCACAACCATTCCCAAACCCTCAGTTTCCCACTCCCTTACAGCTCAGCCTTTGTTTCAAACAAAGACTAAGGGTCCCTCCCCAACAAGCCCCTCTCAGTGTTAACCTGAAAGCGTTCTTTAATCGGAATCGAACGGACCAGCCTAATTGTTAACACCGCGGCATGGCGCCTGCTGACCGCCTGCATGCCGTTGACATGTTGTAATATAATGGAAGCTAGTTTGAGGTGCATATCTAGCCTCCAATCTTTTATTCTTCCAGGCACGTGATGAACACACCTGTGCAAGCCACCGTGTCTCTGGATCGGGCCGCGGCCAAGGCGGAACTAGATCATGCACGCGCTGCACATGCGGGGCAGGCTGCATTTCCCGCTGCAAGATTTGCTGTCGCTGTTGTTGCAGCAGCAGTTGGTGTGCTTGCGCATGTGCCGACTCGGCTAACAAGGTTTGCGGGTAGCGCCCAGCACTGGTTTCCGGTACAGGATATGCACTTGTCTGCGGCTGTTGATGCGGTAGCTGTTGCGCCGGGTCTTGCGGCTTGACGTGCGGGTAACGAACGGTGTCTGTGTGCGGCGCCCTGTGCGGACTCGGTGGCTGCTGCTGTTGCTGTTCCTGCTGCTGCTGCAAATACTGTTGTTGCAGGAATAGCTGTTGTTGCTCCTGCTGCTGCAAGCGTTGCTCCCGCTGTTCCTGCTGCTGAGCGTAGTACTCTTGTTCTTGCTGCTGCTGCTGCACAAGGTACTGTTGCTGAAAAGGCAGAAGGTGCTTATAATGCTGTCCATACTGCTGCCCGTACTGCGTGGCTTCTGGCGGGGCTACAGCAACCGCCATGCCTTGCTCGCTAGCCGCAGCAGAGGCTGAGGAATGATGGACATAACCCGGCGTTGCAGGTCTAGATAAATGCTGTTGTTGTTGTTGCAGACCGAACTCTACACGCGATGCCAGTCGCTGCGGGAGCACTGCTTGCTGCTGGAGCTGCTGTTCTTGTGACCATGCTGCCTGGTGCATAACAGGCTCACCCTGCTGTGGGTAGCCGACAGTTTGCGCATGCTGCTGCTGTTGCTGAAATCCCTCAGCAGCAACTCTTGCCCCAGCAGCTGCGCTTCCCGAGGCTCCTGATGCTTCAGCTGCAATGCTCCCTGCCCACTCTCGCGGCCCTGTATGAGTAGCTACGGTAATGACGGGCCCGGCCTGCTGCTGCGCAACCTGGCTGTTTGCCTCTTCCCCAATACCATAACCAAGTTTTACATGCGTAGTCTTCTTGCGGGCGGGGTACGACACCGAGCCGGTGGCTTCACTGGCGATGGACACCGGTGATAAAGGGGCAGCTCCTGGTCCCGGTGCTGCGTCTGCTGTGGCCTGGGAGAAAGGGGACAACTGACCTGGTACCCCACCGACAGGCACCCCTCGCCAGGAGGGCGACGCAAGCACACCAGCGACATTGGGCCTCATTCCCGCAGCCGCATGCGCGTTGTGCTGGTAATATCCCTGCACCGAGGCGGATTGCTGACGCAGGGGTGCCTGCGCTTGCGGCTGCAGCGGCTGCGCGGCTTGTTGCACCGGATAATGCTGATATTGTATCTGCTCGGGGATTCCTTGATCTTGTGGCCTTTCTTGCAGTGGCATCCTCTGCTGCAGCTGCGATGACTGTCCAGGCATGCCGTTGCTGGTCGGCGCATTCCCCTGCTCGAAAGGCGCTACACCACCCTGCTGCTGCTGCGGCGGTAACAATTGTTGCTCGTCCGTTGCCACGACTTCCAGGCCACTGCAGGTGCAAGCAACGTGGATGCGGACACATGTCATGGAACTGCAGGACCCTGGACCTGGAAATCAACCAGGATCGCTACACATTACGGTTGCTTCAATCGAACCTGGCTCGGCTCTGGATTCTATTGCTCCAAAGCCATGACGGCCACCCCGTTATCCTCGACACAGGCAATTACCGTGTACACAGGCAATTACCTGGTTGCTCAACATCTTAAGAGACAGCACGCACCTAAACAAGTCATCCTCATTGTCCCCTCCTCCGATGGCCTGGTCCTGCTCATGCGCAGCCTGCTGCCCCGCTGCATCCATGCCCTGTTCCGAAAATATGCCCCGTTGCCTCTGGCCATGGGCTGTTGTGGAGCCCTGGGCGCTATTCGTGGACCACCCTGGCGACTGCATGGCATCCGCAGCGCCGGTTTGGGCCATTACCTCCGACGGCAGGGCCCGGTGCCCAGGATCGTGATACAGTGACGTCTGGGTGTGTTGCTGGTGTACAAACACGCCGTGCTGTTGTTGCTGTTGCTGCTGCAACTGTAAGCCAGCAGGGCCTATCTGCTGCGCCGACACCATAACTGTGCTTTGGGCTGCCGCCCCATGACCCTGTGCCGCGGCTTCACGTTGTTGCGCCAGGAACGTGAAATGTTTCTGCAGCAAAGCCTGCTGCTTTTGCGCCAGCATCTCCCGTTCCTCATCGGTCAGGTACATGAAAGACGAGTCGCTCCGTGCTGGGGTAGATGCGGCCGAGCTGACGGCCTGTGGATGCACATGCTCGACAGTCTGCTGTTGCTGCTGTTGCGTGTACTGCTGTTGTTGCTGTTGATGCTGCTGTCGCTGCTGCTGGTATGTCGTCTGTACGCGTCGCGGCCCGGCGGCCTGGTTGCCGGTGGTGAAGCCCTCCTGTCGAGAGAACAGAGCTACCGCCTGCTGGACCCTGCCGCTATTGCTCGGTGGAAGAAGCGAGGGTGGCATGGAAGAGCGGCCACCCGCACCAGAGTTGAGGTTGGCGGGGGACGCTTGCCGAGGCTCTGCAGGGTTACGAGCACCATGTACTTGATGACCGATGGTGCTACATGCATTTGCATGCGAGTATCCCATGTACACCGGACCGCTGAGCCGTACCTGGCTTTGACGCGGCGTCCGCCCGAGACACCACTACATCTGCCAGCTCTCGAAATTCGTCCTCCAGGTCTAAGATTTGGCTGTGGCCATGAGGGGTAGATGGTACGCATTCGCGCGGGGCCAGGTTACCCCATGTCAATAGTGGTAGGACTCAAGTGCTAGGTTGACATCTTGGCACAATTCAGGTAATTAGTTTATCCAGTATGTGGTTGTAGATTTCCCTGCTATGCGGCGAACCGCAATCACACATAGCGAAAAATTCCACCCCGGGGCCAATTTCCTTACAAGCTCCATGCCTCCTTATCAGCCGGCGGAAGAGATGCAGTAGCTTCCTTCAATTGTTGAACTGCATGGAACCCGGTGAACGACCTGTTGTCAACTTGGTCAGCGCAAAGCATCAGCTGCTGACCACGTACCAAGACGCTGTATCTCATTTAGTAGTGGAAATGCTTGCAGGTCCCCTGGGTTAATTGTCCGCAGTTTCTGCAGAGCCCCTTGCGCCTGCTGCAAGCACTCGCTAACAGTGAGCTTGGGTATGCCTTTGCGATGCACAACGTTTGGTGGCGGTGGAGGCAGTGGTGGAGGCCTTGTTTGAGGCGCAGGTTGCTTCTTACGCTTAAACATTTCTGGCTACGTTGTGCTGATGGATATTGATTGGTTACTCGATAAGAGGTCAGAAGCCATCTTCTGTCATGTTTATAGGCCTGGTGAGTAAATAATATGTAATTATTGGCATAGGGTACGCTTCCTTGTCACGCAGAGACTTCTAGGGAGAACTGTCTGTGCTGCTGCCGTACACCGTTCCTTCGCTTCCAGCAGCGCAACCGGATCCTGAAGCAAGCTTGAGGCCTCCGTTTGCTTCCTGGAACAATGAACAGATGGTATAAACACATGCTCACTGCGTAGGGATGCGCTGTCACGGGAGGTTGCGGGAGGGGCAAGTTGCAATCTGGGTCTGTGCGAAGAGCAATCGTCATCAACACAAGGCATCCATCACATAATGCTGCGTAGCGACGGAAAACGCGTAAACACTTCGCACGGATACTGAGTCACCTGGGCACAGGGCTGGCCCTGACAGGTTGAGTCAGGGCGCAGAGCCAAATCCCGCTGTCCACACGTTATCAGCAGTACTTAACCTAGCTTTTATGACCAGAATGACAGAAATGTATGATACATTGGTCCCGGGTATTCTTAGGGCAAGTCTTCCTGCAACTGAACCTTGCGCATAAAGCCATTGATTCACAAAGTAATCATGGAACAGACGTGGATCCAGAATGCGCTTGCCCTAGAGCTTGTGGCAACTGTATGCTTCAACGGCGTGCACTGTATCGAGCTGTTCCCCTCTCCCTGCAACAACAGTATCCAGTAAACACGGACCTTTAAGTTCCTCGCGCGTCTTAAAAGCCAGTGGACGCACTGAATGCACCTCTTGCTGTTGGTCTCGTAACACAGCAATAACCCGCGCCACATATCGCCGGGTTTTGCCGGACTTGGTTCCGGGGCCTTCGTTGCATCATTGGAAATAACTGCCAAGGTCTCGCATGAACATAACGGTGGACATGAGTTTTGTGACTATAAAGGGGATCCTGCCAACACGTGAAAGCCGACGCCGTTTCGATGACTGACAGTTCTGCCTGACGTACAGTGTCGTTGTACAGTGCCGAAAGCATAATTCCTTGTGGTGACATAAGATTCTTGCTATAAGCACTTTAGGCACTATTCGCTGAAGTTGTCATGTTTGATCCTGACTAGCGATGGAGAGCACAGGTGGACCACCTTGTCAAGGTGTGTTACCGCTTGGCGAAGAGTCTTTGCAAGCGTATTCCTTTCACAAATTATTTTTGAAACTATGTTTGGGTACTCAATTGTATTTTCGCACCGCAGAGAGAAGGAACTCACCCGTTGGTGGCCTCCAAGCGGCGCTGGGGCGATCAAGGTTGGGCATCGCTGCTATAAAAATGCAGTCTTTCCTGCTGTACTATGTTTAACCTGGGTAAACACAAATTGCTCCTTATATGGCTCTTCCATGATGCACGTGGCATCATATGCAAACTGAACCATGGCCCACGTGCATGTAATCCCTTCATATTTCAACTGCTGTATGGTCATGTGGCCAACAATGACATGTTCGGAACCTCTTCCCGCCAGGTCGCTAAGAGTGAACCCCGAGGCTCCCGACCAGCAGAGCACCGTAGGGCAATCCTCCACGGCGGCCCTGCCCATCATCCCAGAGTCCTCTCCAGACCCTCATCAGCTGTCGCACCCGACCCTGCAGACCAGCCAGCATGCCGCATTGTCTGGCGGACGTCCCGCATCGCTGCAACAACACGCGGCGGCTGTGGGCGCCGTGAGCACAAGCCTCACCACCCTCCCAGGACTGTTGCCTGCTACGCAACAGCTGGTACCCTCACCCCAGCCTTACGCACCGCCCGTCCAGGGCCAGCACTCACCCAAACAACACGTGGTCGGAGCGGAAACCCTGTCGTCCAGTGCCGCCGCCGCGCTGCTGCGAGATAATGGCACATCGCCGTCCCCTCCGCCTCCGGGTCTCGTCCCGCTTCGTGGATCGCTAGCCAAGGGCGCCTCGGCGATGACCGCCAGTGGAGCCTCTTCTCCCGCAGCATCAGTCGCAGGCGGCGGCAGCGGCGGCACTGGTGCAGCTCCTATGCCAATAGGCCGTACGCATGGCCCACCGCACAGCAACGGCGGCGGTGCCGGCGGCGGCAGTACGGTTTTGGCTCCCCCGCCCGCAGCTACCCCGTTATCCTCCTCTCTCTCACAGGGTTTCAGACAAGGACTACCGTCCTGGCTCCAGGAACCCATATCGCAAACCCAACTGCAGCAACAGCAGCAGCAGCAATTACAGGCAGTGATGCGGCAACAGTACCACGATCTACAGGGCCAGCTCTCAGCCCAGGCCCAGCTGCAATCACAGCACCACCACCAACAACAACGCCTCCAACGCCAACACCAGCATCCGCAACAACAACAACAACAACAACAGCAACAGCTACCGAAAAGGTCACCGTTTCTGCCTGCCAGCCAGGCACCCCGCAAGCCATTCACCCCCCAGGTAGCCGTCGATTCCGGCGCCATGGAGGCCGTCGCTGCCGCCGCGCAGCAATCAAGTCTCGCCAGATCCCTGCCAGCTGGAGGCAGCTACTTTACGGGTCAAGCCATGGCAATGCCGTACCCTGCCGGCGTGCCACGGGCGGCGGGCGGCTACGCCCCCGGTCATGGCTTGGGAGGAGGAACCGGCCCCGGGCCGGGGCCAGGGCTGGGATTCGGGCAAAGGCCGGGGTCCGCCCCGTTCCGTCAGGACTCCCCGGATGATCCCGGGGTTTTGTCCGACACGCCCACACGCGGTGCTCCGGGCCGGGGCCGCAGCGGCATACCCCGTGTTGCCAGCATCAGCGAGATAGAGCCTGTCGTGGAGGTGGGCTATTGTCGCTAGAGCGTGTGTGGCATGCGTGGTGTGTTCTAGGACTGGAAATGAAAGCCAGGAAGTGGAGATTGCATTTGCTGCATGCAACCCTGGTTCTGAGGCACCGGTGTATGTATATATGTATGTTGTTACAGGGTGGTTAAGCTTCACCAGCGGCCCCCTTTCCCGGGGCAGTTCCCTGCTCTCCCCTGCGAGAGGGGCACCCTAATCCGTTCACCCCATCCGACTTCAGAATGTACTCGTTGGGTTCAGCAACTCACCACCAGCATCCAACCAGATCTAGCGGATCAACGGCGCCTCAACTTAGTTCCTGGTCAGCTCGCAAGTTGATATTATTACGTCCTACACCGTTCATAAGATAGGGGCCACCTCCCATTTCAACACTTCTCAAACACCCGAGAAGTCTGCAGGCGGATTTGGACCCGGGACACTCCGGGAGCAGAAGTCAGGCCTTAACTTCTGCCAGCCACCTGCCTATAATATGTATAATGTATAATATGTATGTAAGCGCACGGCGCGTACCATTGATGTGTATTTTATTGGCATTCATCTCCTCTCCCTCCTCCTTTGCTCCCTTGCATCCTTGTCAATCTCTTCCCTTTTGCCTCGTTTTCATCTTCGTCCTGATCTTTTCCTTCGCCCCTTCACCTTCCCTGCAGTCTGACGAGGTCCCCCGCCAGCGCCTGAGCAGCAGCCTGTTGACCCGGGCCATAAGCATCCCCAACGCCCAGGGAGCGGACCGTCCCCGGACGTACCGGGTGGCTCTGGCCAAAAGCCAAGGTGCGTCCCCCTGGGTCACGCAAGAGGAGGAGGTCAATGGAGAGAGGGAAGGAGGGGGGAAGGGGGAAAATCGTGTAGGGTTGCGTCTGTAGACTTGTAGACTGCCCATTTGTCAAAATCATGTAGGACGGGGGGACAGGACACAGGACACAGGAGGAATCGGAGCGACCCAGACGGCAAATCATCGTCAAGGAAGGGTGTTGTGCGTGTGTGCATGTCGGGTGCACGCTGGGTCGCTTGGAGTGGTAAACCGTGCCACAGCATATCTGCATGTATGCCGTGAACGCATATGCAGGGAGCCAGGACGATGTCACGGTTGTGCTGGAGGGAGCCGACGGCTGTGGCGGCGGTGGCGGCGTCGGCGGCAGCGCCCGCGGCGGCCGCGGCGGTGGCAACTCGGCACACGGCAGCTATTACTCGTATGGCAGCAGCGGCGGCGGCGGTGGCGGCGGCAGGGTCCTTGGTGCCGGTGCCTTGCTCAGCACCAGCTTGCTGAGCTCCTCGTTTCTGGGTGGCCTGTTTGGATCTCGTACGGCAGCAGTGGCCGGCGGTGGCATGGGCCGGGGTTTCGGCGGCATGGTTAGCCCGGACGTCAGCGTGCATGATGCGGACACACAGCCCTTTGCGGGTCGGGACAGGTGGGTCGAGGTGATGGTGGGAACACGTATACGTTATGAAAATGATGGAAACACTTTATAAACTGCAATGCCACCCTAATCGTAGGTCGATGCTATTTGTTTTTGCTGTTTTTTCTGCTGCTGCTGCTGCTGCTGCTGCTGGCTATTACGCTTGGTAATGACGCTGTCTTGTCCGTCGCCTCACACTTCCTCCCTCAGTTGTTTCCCTTGATACGGCTTATTATACCCCCCTCTTCATCATCATCATCGTCATCATCCTCCCTGCCGCCTCCTCTTCCTCCTCCTCCGCCCTGCCGCCATCTCTTCCTCGCCCTCCTCCTGGCCGCCTCCTCTTCCTCAATCTCCATCGCAACCTCCGTCTTGCTATCGCTTACCCTACTCCTTCAGGTACTACAAATACGGCAGATGTGGCGGCGGAGGCGGCAGCGAGGTGCCCACTCTCTTCGGCAGCCTCCCCGCCGCGTCCTCACTGCTGCGATCCCGTGCGAACGCCTCCGCCGGATCCATCCTCACCAAGGCCACGGGTGGACTGAACACACCAACCACGAAGGCAATAAAACGCTCCACGAGCTACCAGCAGTTTGGCGGCGCCGCCGCGCTGACGATCGGCGGCGGTGGTGGCGGCGGTGGCGGTGGCGGTGGTGGTGGTGGTGGCGGCTCTGACCTGCCGTCATCGGCCTCCGCCGCGGGACATCGGGGCCATCGCCGACCGCGTACCTCCGCCAACTGCGGCAGCGACAGCAGCGGTGCATGCACAAGCACGAGTGCGAGCTTGGGTGGCGGGTTGGGGTACTGGTTGCGTGGCGGCGGAGCCGCCGCCGCCGCCGCCGCCGCCTCCGGCAGCCGCGGTGGTGGAGCTGGCTCGGATAGCGACGGTGCGGTGGTGGGCCCAGTTCCCGCGCCGATTTCTCGGAGGGGGGCGGAACCAGATCTGGCGGACTTGGCAGTGCTGGCGACCAGCTTGCCGGCGAGTTTAGGTGCGTGTGGGTGCATGGCGGTGGATGTTTGGGTCGGGCTCTGCAATGCTCTAGGCGGTGCGAAAGCACATAAGAGTACAGGCGGCGACCCGCGTGCGTGTGCTCCCGGGTTAGAGCTGCTGAGGCACCTGACTCCTCCCGGCCGCCTACCTCTCGGGTCCAAGGGGGGCGTTGCTTGGTCCTGGATGGCGATATCTGTGTAAATTCATTTTTGTTACATATGAAATGTAGTTGCTTACTTTCGTCCTTGGTCATACACACACATGGACACACACGCCCTTCCTGCTGACAGCTACACCCGGTCGCCCGGCGGTCTTGTTCTCTTTTCTTCCTCTGCCATACCCGTCCACCTTCCTCCGGCCCTACGCCGCTTGCTTTCCCTCAGGCACTTGGAGCCTGCCACGTAGCGTGGCCCTGGCCTCCAGCCCCACAGGCACGGCCGCAGCAGCCGGCAGTAGCAGTGTCCGCGGAGGCATGGCCTTCTTCGGCGGTGGCGCCGCCGCTAACGGCCGCGGCGTCCTCAGCCGAACAAACAGCTGCAACAGCGGCTCCGTCAGCGTTGGCGGCGGCGGCGGCGGCGGTGGGAGTGCCGCCGCCGGGCCCTCTGGCGGGTTCCCCATCTGTCTGATCTGTCTGGAGGTCCTGACCCCGGAGGATTTCGAGAGCGGCGACGCCATCTCACTTCAGTGCGCCTGCAAGGGGGAGATGTCGCTGCGGCACCGCAAATGCGCCATTGAGTGGAGCCACGTGAGTTGGAGAGTGGGCGGGGTGAGGGCGCGAAGGAGGAGGGTAGGGAGAGAGAAATTGATGGAGAAAAGGAGAGAGGGAAATTAAGCTCACACCATCCCTTTTGGAAAGTTAACTGTAAATAGTAAGTCAATAGTGAGTGAAATAGTAAGTCCAATCTCCTTTCGTTCCCGCTCCTTTCCTTCCTGTGCCTCCCCCTCCAGCACACTTCACTCCTCTCTGTCTTGCTGTCGTTCCCTTGCCAAACCTTCACACTGTTAACTACCCCGCCGGTAACCCCATCGCTTCCGCACCTCGCAACCCTCCTGTCAATGACAGCACAAGGGTGACGTCATTTGCGACATCTGCAAGCAGGGCATAGCCAACTTGCCGCCAATTCCGCCGGAGATACTCGCCGCGCGGGAGGCAGCGAGGCGCCGCCGCCAGCCCGCCTTCAACACAGCCGCCGAACCCAACTTTGCGGACTTTTGCTTCGACTGCATCCGCGCCACCTGGGTCACCACGATTGTGTGCGTGCTGTTCTTCGACGTGAGCGTCGGCCAGGCCTTCACGATTGGTTCCGTGGTGGGGATAGCCTTTATGCTGGTCAGCATGGCGATTGCCGCGTGCGCGCGCCGCGCTCGGGCGCTGGTGGCGGCGCGCGCCGTCGAGCGCGCCGCAGCAGAGAGCCGCGCACAGGAGCAGCAGCAGCGGCAGCTACAACAACAGCAGAGGCGGCAACAGCAACAGTATGCTGGGTCTGGGGTAGGGGGAGGGGGAGCAGGAGAAGGAGGAGGAGGGGGAGGGGGAGGGGGAGGGGGAGGACAGTCCCGAGGTTCAGGGGGGGGCGGGGGAGGTGCTCGACGGGCGTCGGCGGCGGGATCGGACCTCACGGTGCCCTTGCTGGCGGCGGCAGTGGATGTGGTGTAGTGCGGCGGGATGGGGGGCCAGCAACAGCGGCAACGGCAACGGCAGCATCGTGGGCTTTCAGATCGAGGTCCGCATCCGCATGCTGAGCCCGTTTGGCCACTCGCCGCTGGTATCTTGCCTGGTATCGACCTCCTCGACGATCTTATCAGAAATGCCGTGTGGATCTAGTCCTGCTGGAGGCGCGTTCAGAGGCGTGTGTAGGGATGTTGAGAGCCTTCAACATCCGAGTTGTGCTCGAGCTGTGTGTTTTTAGCCGCCGCGCACCACACGTCTCATCGACAGCATCAGGCAGCACTCTCCGGAGCCCCCCTGGAGGGGGCGTATGAGACACGTGCTCGCGTGCACATGCGCATCACCAGCAGCGGGTTCTCCGCAGGGACAGAGTCACATTGCCTAGCTAGTTAGCTCCTAGCTACTTGTTGCCAGGTTTATATACATATCTATACCTAGCTATATACCTAGGTATATGTATATACCTAGCTGACCAGCAAGCTAGCTTGCCGGTTGCATAGCGATAACTCCATTTCAACGATACTTCTGCAGTTTTAAGTACATCACGCCGCTGCAGGGAAGTACGGCACACAAGGAAAAGCTAGCCATATGCAGGCTAGACAGGCAGGCAGGTACGCACGCGGGCAGAAGTCTGTGTGATGCAGTGCGACGTCAACACGCTGGTGTGCAGGTCATGATTTGCGCCGGCGGACAGGTGTGTCCCGGACAATACGAACAGCTCAGCTCAGGAAACACTGAGAGCATTGCGCGGTGCGGGGTGCCGCGGCGGAGAGCTGGGCTCTGCTGCGATGACCGGGGGAGCCGTGGTTAAGGCGGTAAAGGGGGAGGAGCGCCTAGTGACCCTGACACTAGGTGGCGGTTGTAAGGTGGTTGTAGAGGCGGTTAGGTGGGTTTGCGGCGGTTCCGCCTATGGTAACAGCAAGGCAGAGCCTGGTTTACCTGATGCGCTGTGTTGTTGCTGTTTGCTGCTGGTGTGGGTCGGACAGTTACGTGTGCCTGTGATGTTGCGTCTGCGGTTTGCAAAGCTGTGTCCGTAGCAGGACAGCCGAGGACTTGCCGAATGTCCAGTAGGCATGAGCACGAGCGGACGCAAGTGGGAGGAGATACGCGGAATGAGAACGGCCCCATGACGCCGGTAAACGGGGTGACGGAAGGCAACAGGCCGAGTCAGTGTGCTGCTTGAGTACACGTCCTACGTGCCGCAGTCGGTGCCGCAGTCGGTGAGGGGGAGAGGGTGGCGCGATGTAGGGGAGATGAGTCGCGCGGCGGCGGTGCTTGTTCCTAGCGCAGCGGTTGTGGATGCAGTTGCAGTTGCGGATGGTCGGTTAGGATTCTGGAGCGTTGAGAGCGGTATTTTGAGGCTCGGGGATGAAGTGGAAGTTGTTGTGGCGGTTGAAAGGATCTGAGAACTGGAAATCTGTGGACATTTCACCAGCAGGGTTTCTCAGGGCGAGGCGATCGATTGGATGATCCGGCGAGCACGCAATGCAGCTCATGGATTTTTGTGTCTGAAGGCCCGAATCCATTTTTCGATTCCGGGTGAAAGCTTTTGGAATGCATGGGTTCCGGTTCCACTGAGGCTTTTCCTTTTTGTTGTCTCTTATTGGATATCCATCAGTATGAAGGGGGCCCCGCAATCATCTATCACCACCTTCGCCTATCGCGCAGACTTGTATGTCCTGCAAGCATACGCGCATGCATGTTCTGTAGGCCCTAGCGCAACATGTACATGCGTGCACATGCCTTTGCACATGCAAGGTGAAGTTTTCACGACTGTGATGTCCACAGTGTGGTCAACAAGTTGGTGGCATGAGCCAAAAAACTGGCGTTTTGGCATGCATGCATGCAGCTACGCGCATTTCCTGTTTCGGGTAGGTTTTTACAAGTCCGGCCTAAAATTTTGGTGTTTGCTTTGTTGTGCTGCCTGTACCGTACGGCACGCAGCATGGTGGTGTAGCTCGCCGGCCGGGTAAGTAAAGGGCATCGTGAGGGTACCGCAAGCAGCAGCCGGGTTGTAACCGTTGAATGCCACTCCTTACGATGCGTGTACAAGGGCTTGCAACGTCAGCGGCCAGTTCCGAGGCCCACCGATTGCGGTAACTGCTGCAATTGACTATTTCGGCGACACGATTAATGGTAGATCAGTTAATCGCATAGGATTGGATTGGTCGATCATTAAACATTCTGGAATCGAACAGCAACGCCCAATGCTCGTCCAGCGGTACGGAGGCGTTTACACCCCAGGGGTATTGATTTTGCAATGCTGCAATCTGAGGCTCCTGGTCGCTGTCCGGCTTACTACTCGAGATCGAAAAGCTACCAAGCCGTGAAATTTATATGTGACGGCTGTGTAACGGCCATGGTCCGAATGGCCGCGACCGGAGCTGAACCGACGCCTCGGCATCGGCCGATTTGCAAAAACCCACTTTCCAATCAACCGCACCATGCACGGTGTTATTATCATTTTGAGCTCGGTAGAAATAACATAACAGCATCTCGGATGATATGGCAATCACAAAGCGTTGGCTAAAGTCATCTGACGCGAGGATATATATGAGCAGTGCAACAGCTCAGAACCAGATGCGGTAATCCATACTGAAGTGCCCCTTGGGCGGAAACTGCAATGTCGACGGAAGATGCGACGCATGCATTGAAAAGTCAAGCTTTCAGTGCTACAAATCAGCGTATCTATTTCATACGAATATTTTATCTACTGTGGTGTCGCTAGCCGACTGATTCGTGGGAAATCACGGCAATGCTGTTGCATGATCAGCCGTTTCATACAACAATAGCAGTAGGCGAAAACATATAACTCTAGAATGACCCAACGACAGTTTTAGGGGTAGGTACTGACGTCCCACTATGAATACCTCCTTCTCTACCGTAATGTGTGCTCCTGGACCATCAATGTAGGCCGGGTCCGCAGGTCTATGCATCATTCTGGGACAACAATTACTGCTACGAATTCAACTGCTTAGGCCTATAAATACCAGGGAATGCCCTCAAGTTAGACCAGACACTCGCCAGTTGTTGCACGATAAAACGGCTCAGCGACTTGCAATGACACCCTGAACATCAGCTAACCGGCTATAATGAGTAGGCTACTACCAAGGCTTCCCAGCGTTGCACCGCTGTGCTTCTTCCTTATCTCGGTGGGAGACATGTATTTTGTAACTTGTAGAATGCAACTCATCTGCACACAGCATATACCTGGACATCCCAGCAAACATGCCTGGAGACTGGGACGTGCTTACATAATAACGTTGTGGAATGCAGGTCTCGTACAAGCTTGCATGGACAGCTATCTCCTCCCTCCTCAGCCAATACAGCAAGGCGTACGGGCCCGACATCTTGCTGCAGCTCAATGTCGCATACTTCTTCCCCAGCATCCCCGTGCTCATACTCCAGGCGCTCTTCAACGACCGGTGCGTCCGTATTAGAATCCTTTCCTTACCGCGCACACACAACCCTCTCCCCCCAGCAATCGCCGCATGCCAATCCCCAATTTGTACGGATGAACCCCAGATCCCTCCCTTCGCACTCTCTTCCCCCTTTGATGCTCCCGACTTGCAAATTACCCTGTAGGGCTTCAAACGGCAAACAACCGAAATGGGCCAAAACCGGTTCCACACAGCCTATCCACACACCATGACGGGAGGAAATGGCGAATGCCACATCATACACGTCTATCCCAGCCACAGGCAACTCCTTCCCCCCACCCCGCCGACCACACCAGCAAAACCCACCTGAACGACACCCCCCCACAACCACCAAGCCGCAGCACAACGCACTAGCCCCGCCCGTCCATATTTTGTTTCTTTAGCTTTTCCATACCACTCCCTCGCTCCCTCGTCTGCAAGCCCTTTCCCACTTTCCTTTTCCTCATTGCCCTCCTCCTTTCCCACCCACCCCATCCCCGCCTCCCCCCCTTTTACCTAATCCTCCCCCCATCCTTACCCCGGGGCGCAGCATGGACCGGCGACTGGGAATCCCCGCCGGCGTGTTGCTTCGCTTCATTGTGGGGTTGGGCGGTCTCGTTGGCCTTACCCACTTCTTCCCGCAAATCACAGCCGGCTCAGAGCAGGCGTTGCTCGTCGCAACGGTCCTTGTGGGTATATCGTACGGCGTTGCCTTTGGCACGTCGTACCAGGTCGCGTCCAAGTACCCGGCGGGCTCGACGGTGGCGCTGACGATGGGTGCGTGTGCGTGTGTGTTTGTGTGTGTTTGGGGAGGCGGTCAGGATGGGTCGGGGGAACCCCCGCGCCTGGGGGGGGGGGGAAGGGCCAGGGGAGTTAGTACTGCCTACCCCGCATGCCCTCCACATTCCTCACGTCGCCTCCTTGTGAGGGTGCGCCTGTGCCCGAAGCACAATAATAATAAAGGTCCGAAGGCTCCCCCCTCAGCGGGGTGTATAGGCGGTCACGATCGCAAGCGCTGGGTCGGGTTCTTTCCAACACCCTCCCCTTTTGGAAAGGCCTTCCTGTGTCCTCGTACCTTCGTTATCCTCCTCCGCCCGTCCTGAACTCCCCGCCCTGTCAATATCTGATCCCCGTCTTTGCCAGGTAACGTCGGTCTGTGTTCACTTTTTGTCCTTATCGCGTGCCTCCTAAACCCCCGTGTTTGGCGCTCTTCACATTTAGATTTCGACCCATTTCCCTTTACCCCCTTGTCGTTGGTGTTGGTGTTGATGTTGATGTTTGTGTGGGTGTGGGTGTTGGTGTTGGTGTTGATGATGTTGGTGTTGATGTTGGTGTTGATGTTGATGTTGGTGTTGGTGTTAATCTCTCGTTCTCTCCCTCTCTCCCCCCCCTCCACCAGGTTTCGTGAGCAGCGGCCCGGTGGTCCTGCTACTTGATCTGGCGCTCAAGAGGGGAACCTACTACACCGACGAGGGGCTGGAACAGCTCTTCAGGTGCGGTTAGACACATAGTTGGTTGGGAGTTGTCCGTTATCCGTTGTCTGAGTTGGCGGCCATGGAGGTTCACCGTGGCAAGGAACCGATTCCAATGAACTGACTGATGGAGATACCCCCCTTCTGGTTGGGGGGCCACAGCGGTGCGTGAGGAAGGTGGTGTTGCGGTGGTTTGTCGGGAGGGAACTGCCACAGCTGGCCACGTCGCCGCCAAGCTTACGCAAGATCACTGGTCAGTAAATTATCCTGCAGCATTGTGCGAAGGCGAATGTAGGAGAGCCGTATTTGCCGTAGTATATTGCTCCAAACCAAAACCCCCGCAGCGGCGGCGCGATGTCCAGGCGGCAGGCAGGGCTGGGGCTGGGCAGGGTTGGGTCCCGTGGGGGTCATCTGCGCTGATGGGGCATTGAGGTCGGGGCAGCGGCGCGGGGAAGGAGGAAAGGGAGGAAAGGAAAGGAAAGGAGAGGCAGGGGAAGAGAGAGGAGAGGGGGGTTTTGGTGGTGAGTGCGGGACAGAGGTAGGGGTTGTGGTGCTCTCTGAGCCGGGGAGGGCAGCTGGGAAAGTGGCGGGGATGGATGGCACATACATACACACATACATACATACACATATACATACATACATACGTGTGGAGCTTTAGTGCCGAGGAGTGGGCCCCTCCTACTCCGAATCGGGGAGTGCACCCAGAAATCAGGGTATGGACAATGTTTCACATTGTGTGGCTTTTAACGATGTGGTTTGGGAAGGAGTGTCGATCGTAGAATTCTCCCTGCCCCACTTCAATTGTGTTGGCTGTGGCTGTGAGGTAGGTGGGTGGCGGTGATCACCGCCGTGGGGCTGGCGGCGGCGGCGGTGCTAGTGCTGGGCAGCTGGCGGATGTTGGCGGCGGGGGCGCCGCACCGTGTCGAGCTTAAAGTGCCGTACAAGGCGCCGGCGCCGTACGGCGGTGGCTACAAAGACGGCAACGTTGCGGCCATGACGCATGGATACGACAGGACGGGGCCGTACGTACGACACCGGGGTGATCAAGGTAGCGACGGCGCCGCCGCCAACGGTTTTCATTACAGCCACCACAACCACGCGGGTCATCACGCAATCACGTTGGACTTTTCGTCCTCCGCTGGCGCCAACGACCACAACTACCTTAACCACCACGGCAGCGGCACCGTTGACGGTTACAGCAACAGCTACGGCTTTCAGTTGGCGATGTCTGCGGATGGGGCCCAGGGCGGCGGAGGCCAGTCGGCAGATGAAAGCAAGGTAGGTGGTGTGTGTATCCGTCTGTCTGTCAGTCTGTCATGTCATGTCATGTCATGCCATTATCATCATCTAAATCCCCCCCCTCTCCCCTCCCCCTCCACGCCCTCAGCTCGCCAAGAAGGACCTCCCCCTGCTGCAGCTGGCGGGTCGCATCCTGCCCGCCGCCGCCTGCATCACCATATCCGTGGGCACCTCCATGCTCATATTCCCCTTCTTCACCTACATGACATCCACGGGGCTGCTGGGGGAGAGGCTGGCGCAGGTGGGTGGGCGAGGGGGGTTGGGCGGCTGCCATAACCCGGGGGAAAGGCACAGGCTAGGGGGGTGGGGAAATGGGCCGCGGTACGGCAATGGATCTTTATCTGCTGCATCATGAAAACCTTTCTTCCTCCTCTTCCTCCTCTTCCTCCTCTTCCTCCTCTTCCTCCTCTTCCTCCTCTTCCTCCTCTTCCTCCTCTTCCTCCTCTTCCTCCTCTTCCTCCTCTTCCTCCTCTTCCTCCTCTCCTCCTCTTCCTCCTCTTCCTCCTCTTCCTCCTCTTCCTCCTCTTCCTCCTCTTCCTCCTCTTCCTCCTCTTCCTCCTCTTCCTCCTCTTCCTCCTCTCCTCCTGGGTCGTTTTCCCCACCACCCCTTCCCACTTGCATATATGCACTCCTTTGTATAGTTCCTCTCTGCTATTTGCCATTTGGAGGGTGCCACTTTGCAGGAGGAGAAGGAGGAGGACATATCGACAGCGATGAAAAGTTGTTGCTAGCATGCCGTTGTATGCGCCTACGATTCCCCTATCCTCGCTTCCGCTTCCCTTTACCCCCGCGGCGATTGAGAGCTGGGAACTCCTTGCACCAGTACTACCCGCCTCCCTCCCACCGTCCCGCCTTCCCTGCACCTCCACCTCCCCTTCCTCAGGTGCTGTTTTACATTCGGTTGGTGGGGGATATCTTGGGGAGGATGGTGCCCAGGAGGCTGCAGGTGAGTGTATGTATGTATGTATGTGTGTGTGGGGGGGGGGGGAGGGGGGGATCGAGGTTGGCACGGGCGTGAGGAAGGGATGGGGTAGGTTCTGGGGGAGATATATGTGAGGGGTGGGTGGGGGGGTTGTGTTGCGCTTAGCTGAGCCACACGCGCACATCTATACACACACACACACACACACTCTCACACACACACACATGTGCAGATGTTGGACCTGGCAGCGTTCATGGTGTTATGCCCTGAGTACGCACTCCAACCCCCCCTCCAGGTCACCGGCGTCCGCAAGTTGATGTTTTGGGCGGTTGTGAAGCTGGCCATGGTGCCGCTGCTGTTTGGCTGCATCTTCACACCTCCCCTGGTGGGGGGGGACCTGACGGCCCTGGTGGTGGTGGCGCTGTTCTGGGTGCTGTCGGGTGAGCGGGGGAAGGGGGGACGGGGGGGGGGGGAAGAGGGGTTGAGGGGGAGGGGTTATTGCTCTTACCCTTTTAGCTGAGGTAAGAAATCCTATGAGTCCGCTATCCCCCTCCCTTGCGACTTCCCTCCAGCACCTTCTCGCCTTGACTTTGGAAGACAAAACAAAGGAAAAACCCTGGAAGCCTTCTCACCCCCGTGCTCTTCGGCACTCCTCCCCCTCTTCCCCTTCCCCCCACACCCTCCTCCCCCCTCACCCCCCCAAAGGTTACCTCAACACCTGCTCCTACTTGATCGCCCCCACGCTGGTGCCCCCGGGGCAGAAGTCCCGGGCCTCGGGGCTCATGACGGTGGCTTTCCAGTCGGCGTGTTTCGGAGCTCTCATGCTGGCGTACGCCGTACAGCAGCTGGAGCTGTCTCATCTGGTACGGCACGTGGCGATGGCCATGGGCGCGTCACCGCACTAGAAACCCTATGTTTCCAATCTGGGTTTCGTGCTTTCGTTCTCCCCACCAGTTTCTGTTAAGGGGGCAGAAACGGGTGGTGAGGGAACGAGACCATACGTCGAAACACAGCGCAGGAATGTTGTGGGGTGCGGTGTTTATGTGAGAGTGTGTGTGATGTGTGTGTTTTTCGCAGCCCTTATGCATGGCGTCTGGAGCCAGTGGGTAAGGGGGCGGTACACAGTGGGATGATTTTTTGCAGATTGATGATCGTACATGTGTCATACATTGTCATGCATCAATTTTATGTACTTTCCGATTTCCGTAACATGTCGCAGTATGCAGAGCGTGTGTGGTATGTAATTGGGGCATGGGGGAAGGCCTGGATGCGGTTCATGTGGATTTGTGCCCGTTTGACCTTTTTGTGGAGGGAAAGGGGAGCGATATGCTCATCAGCCTCATCACTCTTGATCCCATTTCGCATCTGCAAAGAATTATCTGCTCTTAAGCAGTACCTGTGCCGTACATGTGCAAAAAAATGGATAGACGCCGCTGCCTTTTTTTCGCCTTGCGCCCGGTGACCTCATCCACTTGCTATATAGCTCTTTTCTCTCGAGTGCGACGGCCGCAGTGGTGGCTACGACCGGAAGATTAACAACGGGGTTTGGCTCGCAGCCGTATTGACGAAAACTCGATTTCCACTATATTGCTGTTCTAGCTGTCAAGGACTGCCGGTCGTCTGCAGCACGATTCAGAAGGCTTGTTGCTGACTGGTTGCGCCTGGCTGACTGACCATCGCCTGTATTGTTGGGGGCCGTTTTAACGGCAAGGGCTGTGGCGAAATGAAAGGCCCAGCACCCGCTAGCATGCAGTTGTGCCGGCAAGTTTAAACCGCCAGAACTAAGGAAAAAATCCCGCCATTGAGGTCCTGAGACTTTATTTGGCCGTGTGCATGGATCCGAGTTGTCGGGAATCGGGGACGCCACTTACTGCGCATAGTAGTGCTAGGAGGTGATTATGTTGGTATGGTGTTAGTAGCGATCTTGTGAGGAGACCTAACCAGGAGATCACCCGCCCCAGTGTACGTGTGGTTGGAGGGGGGGCCCGCGTGCAGCGCGTACATGTAGGTTATGGAAGTTGATGTAGAGTCAGGAATATGCTCTGCTGTGCTCCACAACGTAGGCCCAGCCAACCTGTCCTAATCTGTTGGTTGTGGGTGACAGAAGCAGGCTTATTAGTCGAGGACTTTGCAGCTGTAGCAGCTGTAATTGATGACTTCCCCATGAAAAGCGGCTTTCCATCTCACAGAATTGTATTCGTAGCTATTCCGGCATGTCCCGCTGTTCAGCAAAATCGCCGGTGACGGACATATGGTTGATCAGCCAGTACCTGTCACACTGTCTCCACATTGCTTGGCTGCAAGATGTTCGTTCAGTGCCCTCGTTCAAGGCCCTCAGCAAAGCATACCTCGGGGAATATGCAGGCTGGTTGAGTGGGTAGGTGGGGTGTAGGAAGGACAACTAAAGACCCTGGTATGAAGCGCAACTGCTGGGCTTGGGTGAGTGTCGGTAAGTATGTGGGTGGAGATGGTTACTGCAAGTCCATCCGTCAGGTCAGGACACCCACAGATTGACCTGCAGGCCATGCGCACGCAGCCAGAGGCCATTGCGTTCACCCCATCCACTTAGACTTTTAGGCAGCGCCCGCCTGGTTATGGGATGCCGCCGGAAATCTCCTCAATGGCGATCGAGTTGGTGTGTGGAGCACCGGTGACCGTTCAACGTCGCTGCAGAGTTCGTAAAGGCCTTCGTTGCGGCGGATAAGCGCAACTCCTGCTGGTAATCCAGATGCAGGCGCCAATGTATGGGGCTATTGCCTTACCTCCCGGAGCCTGAATGACCGCATACACCATCGCCAAGCGTGAAGGGTATGCATACACAATCAGGCCTCGCGGCCCGGTCTGCCTGCCCGCAGCAGGTACTGCCTTCCCGGGAAAGTTACGGTAGGTTCCACCTGGCTCAGCAGTGAAAAGGACAAGGGTACATCCTAGCTGCCAGGTTAAGATAGCATGCCTGTTGCACATAATTGAGGTCTTCCCCAACCCCTGTCTTCCCCACCCTCTGTCTTCCCCAACCCCTGTCTTCCCCAACCCCGGCATGAATGGACTCCCGAGCCGGGATTCGAAGCCGCGATTGCGCCAGCTGCGCTGCTGCCGCCGACAATGCCGGTGGCAAGTCCCACATTCGTAACCGTGGGGGCAGGCCGACGGCCGAAACGCGAAGTCGACACCACAGCGAAGCCACGACAGCAGGAACACGAGGAGATTACTTGGAAATACCCACTCCTTCTTAAGGGAGGCCGAGGCCAACCGGTATGCCATGTGGAAGGCGGTGGCGCGGTAATCCAGAAGTTATGCAGAACAGATACTATCGCAAACCTTGCCGTCTCTAAGTCATCTAAAGCGCACTTACGACAAGTCCAGCGTTTAGGAGGCCGCCTAAGGTGCAGCGATAATGTCTTAGCCAAACTTCAAACGAGACATCTGAATTAGAGCAGAATGCACACATCCATGCTCGTTGTTTTGCCACAAAGATGACCTCAGGCAGCTCTAACATTCTGGAAGGCCGTAACAGGCCGTACTTTGCGGCCGCTAGGAAACTAGAGGATCACTGCAACCAATGCGTCATATAGCGGGATAAAGTTTTCTGTTGATTTTATATTGGTTGAATTCATCCTTCTAAAACTTCGGGCTTCGGTGCTGTGAGTTCCTCTGAGCTTAACCCTCCTTCTTAACAACCACACAAGGAAAAATGAACATGAATGGTCAGGACTGGGAGCAGGTGGTGATCAAGAAGAAGCAGCCATCGGGCGCAGCACTTAAGGATGAGGCGGCCGTGAACGCGGTGCGTCGCGATTTGCCGCGCACCACCACAAGAATCGCGGCTGACATAGAAACCTCCACAGGCTCGACGACAAGGGGCAGCTGTGGAAACGTCGCAAAAATGTATGTTAGGTCTTCCCAGGCCATGCCTGGATCTGGCTCGCCCTTACCTTTTCGGGTGCCATTTCTAACGCAGTCAATGCTGGGAAGAACAAACCGGCGCAACAGACAGTTAGCGGCAAGCCAGCAGCTAAGCTTGAGGCAGAGACAGAAGACTTTCATCGTAAGTCCCCGCATGCCCATGGTGACTCCTCGTACCTTGTAATGAACCCCATTGGCTGCTGACAATGCTCGCAGACGAGCGCGTATCCTCGACCTTAAAGCAGCAAATTGTGCAAGCGCGGACGGCGAAAAAGATGACGCAGGCACAGCTGGCACAGGTAGGCCTGGAACGACGTGGCATCGTGGATACCAATGTGCCTAAATTACAGGATTTTAATACACCTCCGTGGTACCCTCCCAACCCCGCAGGCTATCAACGAGAAGCCCCAGGTCATTCAGGAGTACGAATCCGGCAAGGCCATTCCAAACCCCCAAGTGCTCTCAAAGTTGTCCCGTGTTTTGGGTGTGGTGCTGAAGAAGTGAACCAGCTCCTAGAGCGGGATGGAGGCTTACTGCTGTGGCAGCATCCCGCAGGGTGGTCGCGTGCGCAGGTTGCACTCGTGGTTGCCTAAGGGCATCGTAGCCAGTTTGCCACAGGGCATTGCTAGGCGCTTAGGTGTTAAGTTTGCGGTTTGTCCTAGCGGTCCACGAGTCGTGCACTAGGGAAGGCATGTTTAGGCAGGAGCGACCTGAGCAGTTTCCATTGATTGGTGCGCCATGTAGGGGGCCCTTTAAGCTAAGTTGTATGGGTGGGTGTACTAGGTACATAGCACTGTATCCGCGTACATCCCCGTAACTGGTGGCACTAAACGTCCGCTTGTGCAGCAAACGCAGCGTGCTATGGTGATACAATAGACTGGACAAGCTGCCATTGTTAGCTTGCGGCGTTTTTCGCTGCCGGCTCTGGCATCGCATCTGTACTTGATTGAACGGCCGGCCACTTTTGGGTGCTAGGAAGAAGGTGTAGAACATTTTTTGGCGGTTATCATCCGCTCTTCACGTTATTAGGATGTGGGTCAGCTGTCTTCAGGACTCCTGTAAGGGCTTCTGGGATGTGGGCCAGATGTTTTACGTTGGAGGAAATGGAGTCCAGGGTGATTATGCGCCTGATGGTATTGTGAAAGGGAAGGTGTGGACCGGCGCAGAGGACCCTGAAGTGCAGGTTGGGTTGTGGGGGCGCATGTAAAGCATTGGCCTACCTAAACGCTTCGCATGTCCCTGATCTTTCCCATGTCCTGTGCAAATTGTGACCATAAGGTTAGCTAACAGAGTGGAGCATGCATATTACTATAATGGGTAGACCGTCTCGGGTTGTTAACAATGCATAAGTTTCTAGTCTGTGCACCTTGAAAGTCAAACTTCCCTTCTTTTCGGCTCACAGACATGAGCAGCAGGTGTGGAACCCAATGCACGACCGCATGAACGTACCTCTGTATGTGACCTATTACCTCCTCAGACTGTTTTCAACGCTGTATTCAGCAGCGAGAGCGGCAGAGTCTCGAGGGTGTCTTCATGCATGTTACAGGTTACGATCAATCATGAAGCACTCTGGCTCTTGGTGACGTCTCGTGTCTGCGAACCGGTGACCCTTAGTACCGAGGAGCAGCTAATCCGCGTTTGTCATGTACACTTTTACACAGTGCATAGCGGGATGCAAAGCAATGAGTCATTAGAGAGTCCTGTCACCAGCACCTGCTTTTTCTTAGCTGCATACACAATGGTTGGGTACTGGCAGCGCCGATGGACTGCTGGAACCATATTCAATCTCATGACGTTACAACAGTATCATTGACAACGTCATCCCATGCTGGGGAAATAAAAATCCTCAGGGCCACGCATCCTGTGACCCCGAACCATTTCCTATCTCCTGATTTGTCAAGGCGAATACCGCTCACTCTCTGACAGACAACTGGTCGAGAAAAAAAGCAAAAATGTCGATGTCAAGGCGTATGAAGAATCCTATGCAGCTAAGACGACACACTCAGGTTGTCGAAGGACTCAAGTGCTTCCCTCACACCCTTCCATACCCTCTCCCACATTCCGGTAATAATCTGCCATATGTCCAAAAAAGCGCCTCCGAGCGGCGCAGGCGGTAAATCCCTGCGGCTGGCTGCTATGCGGTCCTTCTGGATCCAAGTCGTACCGGGTCAGTAACCCGGTAAGACTCGGGTCCACACCTTCCGGGTCCGCGTCTTACCGGGTTACTGACCAGGTATGACTTTGATCCAGAACGACTGGACAGCAGGGCGGTGTGGTGTAGCCCGGTGTACTGCTGTGTGTGTACATATGACGTGCTGCATCGCTACCGCACCATGATAACACCACTGCCTCGCCTGCAGTAGCAGCAATAGCAGCCGCAGCTCGCTTCGCGAAGGATGGAACAAACCATAAAATGTCGAAGCATGTAAAAAATGTACCGTTGTCGCAGACAGTGACACTTTGATTTGGGAGAGGAGACACATTCACATGCACACGCACAGATATACCACTCGTACACAACAAACCCTCCCGCCACTCGCACAAGTAAATGTGCACAGTAAGCCGGCTCTCTCGCATCAATCAAAATTAAAGAACCAAATCACATCCGGCACCACTACACGCTCAGAAAGGTAAGACAGATACAGTCATATGGATCAAGAAAAAATGTTAACGACCGGCAGGCTTGGACTTTGGGCCTCTCACCGTATCAATAATCCCGCCAAAAAGGCACGCCAACGCCGCCGCGCAGTCAAATTCAAGCGTCGCAGAGCGGCAAGAAAAAAATCGCCGATCCATGTGGACTCGCAGAACCTCAATCATCGTTATCATCACACCAGTATGAATTAGAAGACGTCGGTGCACGCCGCGATGCAATCTTAGACGTCCCAGCAAGCCTCAATCCTCCTCGCTGCCGCGGCGCATCAGGATAGGGCTTCGTAGTGACCTCCCATACCATAGCACACACACTCCCACTACGCCCTCCTGCGCTAGGTCCTCACTATTCAAAGCAGTGCCGCGCCGCCGCGCGCAAACTGCTCCACCAGGATCAGGCCCAACGTGCCCACCATCGCCACTCGACCATTCAGCTTCTCCGCCAGCGCGTTCCACGTGTACGGCAGCGGGCCGTCGGGAAAGCTGTCGTTCTCGTTCGCCACCACCTTAGCCGCCGGCACACGGCCCGCCACCGCCGGAGCAATAGAGGCGGCCAGCGTTAGCAGCCCCGTAGCCACCGCTGCGGCAGCGCCCGTTGACGAGGTCAGCTGCTGCAGAGCCGACTGACCAGAAAGCACCTCCACGGCGGCGATGCCAAGAAAGCCAACCTGCCGTCGAGATACCGGCAGATAGAGCACAAAAGAAGTGCAGACCGATGGCGTTAGAACTTGGAACAAGAGCACATGTGAATGTGAGCTTGGAAGGATTTGGTAGGTGATAATGACAAGAGGTGACAAAAAAGTGGATTTCAACCAAGCACACTCGAAGACTAAGACATGTGATGATGGGTAAAGAGGATGGATGGATAGATTACTGCAAGATAGGAAGGAGAATGGAAAATGAACGACCTGCTTAGGAAGGGCAGCACGTGGTGGCTGCGGAGGAAAAAATATGTATGTGGTTTGCGAATCCAGAGAGGGGAAGTGGGCGAGCGGCAATGGAGGCAGTTAAGATGTGTGGGGGCGTCCTAAGGCGTATTCCAGGGTGGTAGGAAGCCATCCTCCCGAAAATTATACAAATCCAAGGGCTTTCAATCCGTGCGACAAAGACTTATAATTAACTTTACTACTTCTGCTCTTCAGTTTTCATTCGAAGAGTACGAGAACTCTGAGAATGCAACCGTCGTCCCAAGGGAAAGGACGAAAATAATGTGTTGGAAAGCGAGCGCGTGACGCACCATGGCTACACGGCCGTTGATGGTTTCGGCACTGGGTGCATTAGCTCGCAATATGGGCTGGTAGGTCTCAACACTGAAGCCCGCAACGGCGTGTGGCATCGGGTTGGAGGTGTCGATCCGAACACGGTTCTGGTCGTCAATGGCTGCAGCAGGGGGATAAGAAGTTACACGAATTGTGGTTACGGAGCGGAGAGGGAAAGGAAATAATACAAGGGAAACGTAGAGGAAACAAATTTGGAGGGCTCTTAACACAAGGCTTGGGTTCCAAATAACCAACTTGGGTTTCATTAACGACCGCGAAGATGTGGGATCAACGCATATTAAACTGCAAACTCGCGGATGTACTGGCTTGGCACTGGCACTGGACTGGTAGGTCAGAAGGTGTATTCCAGAGTGCGTACCCGCGGGGAAGCGCACGCCAAGCTTGCGGTCGACAACCACAATGTCGTCTTTCGTGGTGTCATATGAAACATAGTAGACAACGCCGTCGATGTTGCGGGTGGTCTCGCCACCCTGTAAAGGGAAAAGGTTGGTGGGGACGTGGATGGGGCGAGCCCTATATGGTGGAAAGTAGATCGCAACATGTATAGGAGATAAAACAGAGACACAACGACAGCTCATACAGCAGCGACAGGGTTTCCATTGGAACCTGAGAGCATATTGCAGGGCGGCTGCATGGAGGACCACATAGCCAGCGTGTGGAAATGCACCACTTAAGTGAAATTCGGCGTATTGTTAGCGTACTTCAGAAATATTTTTGAACCCTTTCATAGTGTCCTCAAAATTCTCAAATGTTCTTGCGTTCGCAGACACAGCGATCCAACTTCATCAACTGCCCGACTTGCTAGAACGACTAACCTGCGCTCCAACAAGATTGTTCTTCGTGAGATTAATGGGCTTCCACAGCTTCAGGTCCGCCACCTTTCCGGGAGCAGTTGTCGTGGTAGTCGTCGCCGTGGCGCTGCACCTCACATGGGGGCGAGCGGCCTTAAATGGCTGCATAGAGAACTGTTTGGACATCATACCTCCTCAGATGTAAAGATTGCAATATTTAAATCCTTGGAATATTTAATAATCAAGTATACTTGCCTGTATTTCAACTAGACAATTCTTTACCTCCGAAACCACAAACTCAACCACAAAGCACTAAACCCCCATTACTTACATGATACTTAAATTACCAGCTGTGTTATGCAAATTTGGAGGGCCTTTCCACTTGCTACATGCTGTAGTAAGCTGCATCGGTCATGCCGTCGGAGGCTTTGCAGTGTACATAATGCAGATTTTATGATCAGCGACATGATAAGCTTTGAAGTCGAGATGCTCATCAACTAACTTTAAAACATTACACCTCGACAATGCTCTCGCGAACCAGCAGTTTCATTCTTTTACCCAGACAGGCGAGGAGAAAGCGCACGGATGACCTTCATCCCTACTTAAGCCTCAAGTGCTTACGCCACGAAAACTATGATTTCACATTGTAATTCTATTGTGACAGCTTGGCATAGAACTTGCCATCGAGTTATGGGACACTCGAAAGGCTGTTGCATTGGGAGACTTTACAGCACGTTCGAATAAGTTTTGTATGCGGAATGACCTAGGGACCCTGGGCTACAGCGTTGCCCATGTTATTCGTGCAACCAGTGAAACTTTTTCAGTATCGTACGGGAATTAGTCTGCTTTGGTGAAAGTCACCATCATGGGTGGCGAGGACAGCAAAGTTCGTTTGTCATGCCTGTCACGCTATGTTTAGATAATGGCTACTTTATGGAAGACATGTAACGAGAAGTCCAAACTTGGGCTGACTTTAACTAGCTCCGTAGACAACCGTGTGCGCTAGGCAACATGCCGAGGCAACACCAAATACTGGATACATTGTTCTTACTTGGTCTTCAATTTTTAGTCCCGACGCACGCTCAAATTGAGCCCGCCATCGTAGCTAACAAGCCATGCCCAGCCGGATGCACCAGCCATGGCAACTGCAACGGCGAAACGGGCCTGTGTGAATGCCGGTTCGGATTTGGCGGTGAGGTTATGCCAGACTCCACATCAGCGCCTCTCTCTCTCCTCCTCCCCTCTTCTCCCCCTCTCCCGCTTCCTCTCCGTCGCTAGCTCGCGCAAAATATCCCGACCTATCGCTCTTAACTGCACCCCCCTTCACCCCATCCCCCCTAATCGGTAGCTCACTCCTTACACATGATTCCCTGCTCCCACTCTCCACGATCCTTGACAGGTCCCGACTGCAGCACGCGTCTCCTGCCCGCCTGCCACAGCGCACCCGACCTCGCCACCTCCATACCCGGCTACGGACACCTGTTCCCCAAGAACTGCTACTGGTGCGTCTCTCTTCCCCCGGGGGGGGGGCCGGGCCCCCCGGTCAGCAGTCCCCGTCCCGTCCTTTGTGTGTGTGTGGGTGCGTGTGTGTGGGTGCGTGTTTAAGAAGCTGAGCAGGAAGTAGGACCTGGTAACCTGGCGGAGCCACGAGAGTGTGTGTATGTGTTTCCGTACAGCTTCGTACAGCACACCGGTGGAGTGTGGGGGTTAGTAACCAGACAAGGCCCCCAAACAGACAGTTATGTCGATGGCAGGGGGGGACTGCTCCGGAAAGTGGGGGGAGCGAGAGGTGGTTAGAGAGAGAGGGGGAGAGAGGTAGAGGTGGTTAGAGCTT